ATCCCTTGATTATATCTTCAGTTGTTGATTAATAATAATTTAGCACAGTTTTCAACCAATCAGCGTGCACTTACTATTCTAACTATATAATAAATAATAATAGTTTGTTATTTATCTGGCCCTTCCCTCCCTTGGGGCATTACAAGGAAAATTATAGTTGATACTTACAAATCAATAGCAGCTGCTTCTGCAGCATTACCAGATGACCCCCCCTGACCAGATGTTCTGACTGCTATTCTTCTTGCTCTGGGTAAACCTCGCCGCCGTCTGCCTTCACTTCCTTCTTTTTTGAAAGAAAAATAATTAAACATTAGAAATCTTGCATCCTTCCAAAATTGTAGTGCTATCCCTGTATCTATTATTTTATCAAATTAGGGATAATTAATGAGGAAAAGTAAAAGAAGTCTGTCACCAAGGAAAACAAAGTATCATCATCATTATCACATCATCATCACCACATCTTAGTCATCACCATCATTATCACAACACAACTGCCACTCAGTTAGCTCACTTGGTAAGAGCGTTTGTCTGTCATCAGTCTATCATCACATCTTTGCATTACTTTTTCATCTTCATCACCATCCCATCATTATCATCATGGTCAATCTAAAATATTAAATCAAATCTTCTACAATACCTGACGAATCATGTGGACCTAGGAACATTCTTCCCCAAAGCTGAGAGAAAAATAAACAAAATATCAAATAGGATTATTAACAAAAATGAATGATTAGAACAAATGCTAAAGATACTTGCCTGTGTAAAGGCTTCTTCAGGATTACTACCATCTAATTCGATTCTTTCTGTATTATTATCATCTTCATTGCTACAAATAAAACAAATAAATTCCATAAAAAATAAAATAAATTCCTGATACAATGATTTTGGTTCTTCAATTATCAAGAATAGGTTGCTATTGATACAAGACATTACTTCTGGTAATAGCTGCATTTTAAATGCTTGTAAAATCTTGGAGGTTGTTTTGATCTCTTGTTTTCAGGTTTCATGTCGTAAAAAGTAGTCAAATACAATATTTTGAAGACTTATTTCGACATGTTTTGACTTAACATCCACCAGTTGCCCCTCAGTCAACCACTTGCTTGCCCCCAGTCAACTCCAGAAAGTCATGTGATTGATAGTAAGCAATATAGAAGTCTGAAAACTATTTTATTGAACTAAATGCCTGCATACAAGGATATATCTTAAAAAGAGTATGGCAAGCAAACTTATGAGTGAACTACAGACAACACAAATGCAAATGCAAGATGTAAACAAGCACTACTGCACTTGTGTATCTTAATTTGCTTGCAGTTGCTTTTCACTTATGAAAATTGCTTGTGCATGCAATTGCATTTGTGTTCTCGTGTAATCCAGGCTTTAGTAGTGTTAGTCTTACTTTTCGCCGGTCATCTGCTCAACAAAGCCATTGTCACATTGAGGACATGTGAATTCCTATATAACAAAAAAGTGCATTATTTTACTATAAGAATAACATAAATACATGAACTTGTACAGTCGAATACAGCTCTCCAGCAAGATATTTTTCCACATTTTGAGCTGCCTATTGGCTGAATTAAAATGCAAACACACAAGTGCAGGTGTATTACGTAGTTTTCCAGCTTTTAATGCCTAAGGGGAACATTCATTTTTACCAGGGGGAGGGGGTGGGGGGATTTGAGGGGTAATTGAAAAAAATTGGTTTATAAGGGCCCGGACCTCGAAGTCCCATAGCATTTTTACAATAAACAGAATAAAAAAACAGGGGAGAGGTAAATTTTTGAATTTTTTGTGTTGGTAACCAACAACATCCCACTGCCACTCCCTGATAAAAAATGAGTGGTCTCTAGTATGCAACAAAAAAGGTCTGAAAAAAAAGGTTGCAGTTTAAACATGATCATCTTGTGACTGGATATTTGATGTATAGAGGAGTTCTAATGACTGCCATGCATATTAAGGTTCAAAGTAATGAAAATCTTCTTTGGAAAATGCAATAAGATTGCATTGTTCCTGTCCTACAACATGGCTGCCATTCAACCCCTTGATAACAGATTATGAAAGAAAGTTTCACATGACTGTTCAAAACTGATGGCACAAATATACCATGTGCTAACCATGGGTTCTGATTGGAATAACAGTAACCTTGCGTGCAGTGATACATAATTATGTACATAAACTTTAATACCCAAGGCTAGTTATGCATATCATAAGGCTGAGAAACCTTTACCAAACAAACTCCATAATATATTATTTATTATTTATCTGAAACTTGCAATACTATTAAGCTTATCAAAGTTAGCCAGTATATGCAGAGTAGCCACTGTTTCACTCAGAGAATCCTTCATTTGCTTGCCTGATGAACACAGCAGTAGTTGATTTTCCTTGACTGGCTTTGGATTCAACTGATAGATATTTCAAACGATGATTCAAAAGAAGTTAAATATTTGACAACGTTCGCAATTTTTGACTTATTTTATACAGATCAAATTCAAGAGATGTTGTAATCCGTCTAGTTAAAAAGGGTACTGTGAAACACCTGCAAGTTGCTCAAATGTGAAAGTACCTTGTAAAACAGTCTGGTAAACATATAAAGTGCATCATCACTGAATGATGCAATAATACTCCTCAAAATATCACATTACACTCGACCAATCTCCCCCATAGATTAAAGGGGTGTTGCTTGTTACTTACCGGTAGGTTTGGTGATATTTCTCGGTTACACACATGGCAAAAATATCGTGAACTTGGAGGGTTTTCAACTACACCTTCCGCCATACTTTCTTCTCCGTTCGATATCTCGCCAAGTGACGTCATAGCCAGGAATAAGAGAGACTGGGCCGATATCCCTGGACTGACAACCGACACAGGAAGCCCAAAAAGAGTGCGCCCCTCACAAAGCGATTAAAAATGATATACGCATTCGTGCCTTAAGTGACTCGAAGAACACGTGACAGTTGACATTGCTTGATCCGTTATGATAAGTTGTTTACTGTATGGTGCTGGCGCTTTTGAGAAGACACGTAATGGAATAAATCTACTTGCAAAATAAATGTGATAAGTGTTGGGGGGGGGGGGGGTTGTACATTAGTTATTTTCATGGGTCGGAGTTGTAGTCAAAACTGACTTAATAATACTAAGGCTGATGAAAGTTGGGCCATTTACACTGTAAAATCAATGGATCATCAACATATAAAATATTTTAAAATTAATTCAAGTCACAAAGTACTATACTATAAATCTACGGTAAAGAGTGAATCTTCCATCTTCCCGTTAATGAACAGCTATAAACCACCTCACGTACCGGATCCAACCTATCATCTCTGACATAAAAAAGTCATGATAACCTACATCTTGTGAACTAGAAGACACGGTATTGGAATAAATCTATTCCCAAAATAAATGTGATCGGTGGGGGAGGGGAGAAATCATCTTTTGAAAATTAAAGTCACTCAGTTATTTTCATGGCTGGTGTATTTAATTGGATCGGATTTGTAGTTGAAACTGAATATTAATTCTGGGACTGATGAAAGTTGCATTGGCCAACTGCACTGTAAAATTAATACATCATCTACATATAATATATTTTAAAGTTCGTGTCACTTGGAAGTCTAAATCTGAGAAAAAAGAAAATCTTCCATCTTCCCAATAAGAACAGCTAATCACGTACGCACCAACCTACCATCTTCGGCATAAAAATGTCATGATAGCCGCGTACGTCTCATTATATTCTGATGTAAGACTTGATTAATTCAACCAGCTGTGTTTATTTTTAGCACGATAGAAATAAAGAAGTCTATAGTCAGGATATTCTGTTTGCAAAAACAGTACTTTACCTCAGTATTTGATTAGTTCTTTTCAAAAAGAGAGAGTTATTGCCCTCCTCGTCGTCATAGTAACAATCTTCCCATCAAAGATTGTCCTGTCATTCATTGATGTAGTCTATTGATAATTACGCTATTGAATATCTTTTAAACTCATTTTTTTCTATTTGTGGGCGAAAAATTATAAACCGGCCTCAGCGATGATGACTAACAAGCAAATTAAAAAAACGTCTCGAACCTTCAAGAAGACGTATGTGGTTTTGTAAATGCAAACTATTAGAATTAGACCAAGAATAAATGATCGGTGAGTTACTACTCTAACGTCACAGTTGAAGCCTAGCTCCGTTCCGTTCCTGGCTTCCTCAATTGACATATCAGTATTTCTAAAACGTACGTTTAATTCCGCAAAAATTAGAGCCTTAAAGTTTAACTTCGTTTGACTCAACAAAAAGAAAAAGGAACAATTAAGTCACAGCGCTCATGCATCATCACTACTAAAGGTAAGAAAAAGTGATTTCATTTTTGAAAAGTTTGCTTTGCAAGGTGTTTTGAGGACTCATATGTTAAGATAAGCAAACAAATAAGTCCTAATGCTTTTGTAGTCATTATATAGGCCAGCAGAACAAAAAACCCTAACCATTTAAAGCGTTTTTTGCGGTTCAGACGATGTGTTTGAAAGATAAGTTGATTTTGTTTTTTTCTTGGTTGGGGTGGTTCTCATAATGAAAAACAAGGCAATTTTAGGTGGCGCGCGCCGAAATGAAATTGTCTTGTTCATATCCGTTCATGGTTTTATTTTTTGAATGTTACGAAAACCATTTCTATTTAGCGATAAAAGCTTATGATCAAATCAAGTAAGACCTTCTCTTATTTCATTCGTTTGTTTATGGACTTCGTTCCGTCAAAAAATTACCATCAAATTATGCAGCATTTGGTTGATAGTAATCTCTTCCCTCGAGAAATATGGATGATCGATCTTGCAGCTATCGATTTTGATCCGTTCTTTTGATTTGAACGGTACAGAGGCTCGTGAAGGGGTTAACTTCAACTCCCTTGTAAGTCATTTCTAGACGCATTTTATTAATACTTAAAAGACAATAAGAAAAATTTATCGAACAAACGTTGACTTTAAAATGAAAAACTAAACAAGGACAAATTAAGAGATACTGTGAATCTCAGTTCATTTGTCATTGCAAAGCGACGTCTGAGGCAATGATAATTTGTTAGCATCCCACCGGAACATAGAATGTGCCTAATCATGTAGCATGCCAGTTTGGACCCTACTTTGACGAACAACCTACCCGATCTTTCCAAATGAATGAAGGCCTATGCCCTGGCGCTGGCCTTACTCATTTGAAGTCCGCGAAATATTCTACTCGCTTTTCCCTCACCCTCCCCCACCACACACAGTCATATATACGCCTCTTTTTTGGCAGCTTCCAGCTAAAATCGAGAATGCGTAAGGCTCTATATTTAGCCTTCCAATGACCTGTCATTTGAAAACGTCCCTTTTCCGTTAATCCGGCCGTATAACATCTTCCGGAGTTGAATTTGATTTATTTCTTCGCGTTTTCTACCCCGGCAATGTCAGATTAGTTGTTATATATCCTTTGACTATTTCTCTTTTCTATGATTCATTTGTGCAGTACCACTTTAAAACTTTAAGTTTAAGGAAAATATTGAAACGAGTTTAGCTGAGTGAAGGTCTGCATGAACAAACATGCACATATCGAGTAGTAATCAAATAAGAGCGGCCAAGATGGTAGTCTGCTTAGTTCTCACCAGACCTACTATGGGTTCTTGGGGGGAGGGGGGAGGCCAGGGGCTGGGGTAATGGCTTTTTGTTAACTTTCTATACTAATTATTCCATAGTGTGTCTCGAAAAATGGCCCAAAGACATAGCTTTTCAAAGGCGTGCATCAATTATGGCTATCAGATTTGTGGATGGTGTTCCCATCGAGAAAAAATCTCAATTCGTGGACAAAGTAGGTACACGCGTAGCACAATCGAATGGCGTCATTGTGGCTGTAGTGATCACACTTGTTGAGCGCACAAACGCGCGTGACCATTGACTTACTCCACAGGAAGTTCATACGAAAATATAGTTTTTTACTAAGTTGCATTTTTCTTGCGTGGATTGTTTTCAAGCGTTATTAAGTCCTGTATTTTTGAAGAAAACTCTTGGAATTTTGCAGAAAATATCATTAGATGGTGGCCCCAAATTAGGCGACGTTGGGCTCCCTGTGTTTTTTATTCCACTGACCTTGATTGATTTTGATTGACTGCTCATTTGACTGCTCATTTGGAGTCAATATATTCAGTTCAATCTCAAAAGAACTCACGACATGATGAGAGAAATAGCAGCAAAATACCTTCCTGTTGTTCATCAAAACACTCGTAATTTGTACACAAAACGTATAGGAATTCATGGCTAAATTCAAATCGAAATACAGACACTTCTAGGGAGGCATTCAGGATGTCTATTTTGATTGTAGTTGGTAAGAAATTGTTATCAGTCATCGATCATTTTGATTTGCTACCATATTCATTATTACTAACTTCAATCTTGTCATCTTGTCAGTGATTTGTGAGTAATTTCTCTTTCTTTTTCTGTGTTTCAACTTACTTCACGACCAAAGTTAAGAGAGGAAAAATCACTGCTGAGCAAGGTGAGATTATAAAATTAATCTTCTCCCAGATCAAATATAATATGATTCGAATTCGTTTAGTCAGGACCGAGAGGAATTTGTTAAAATGAACTCAAATTAGTTGTTCGATACTGTGTTTCCTACCGGATATTTAGTTCAATCTGAAGGATCGCTCTTTCTTTAAGCATTATAACACTATTCAGAATCGATAAAGGATTTTAAAAACTTTATATTGCACTCAAAGTCAACTTGTTTTTCTATTAAATTGAAGAGTTTGATCACTAGCATTTAATCTTACTGGTAAACGTATGATATCAAATTAAGACAGATTTGTTCATTCACAAAGCACACATGCGTTTTTGCTTTACTAATTTTTTTCTTTTTATAATCTCAGAGCTTATGTTTATCACAAACTTGATTAATATTCAATGAACTATTTATATCGCGCTAATCATCGACATCCAAGAAGGGTTTTGTTTGTAAATTATTGTAAGCTAATTCATTATTCAATTCAGCAGGTAAACTCAACACTTATGTAAAAGTGATTTTACAGAATACGAGTCTACAGACAGACCTAGTCAAGGGTTCCACTCCCAACTGGGGACAAGAGTTTGTTTTGTAAGTGACAGAATTTACAACTTATTCTGTAATTAGCTATGAAGTCTTATGAAAATATAATGTCAAGCTCTTTAAAAAAGGGTCATTTGACTTTTGTTATCAATAAATTATCAATATGTACATGTATTAAGAATTACTGAGTAAGTATGTATGTATTAATTATTAATATGAATTAGTTATTATTGTTAATGTATTTAACTGTTCAGGCATGTTCAGTGTAACATCCAGTATAGTCCTGCCCCAAATCAACGTCTGTTGTCTCCTGTTGGAGTTTTTTATTTTGAGCGAAGAGAAAGTTTGTCGAGCACAGCGAGAGAGCAAAGTTGTAGGTACACAGAAAGAAGTGGACTTTGCACAAGTCTAGAAATTTTACAAGCACAAAGAATCTTTGAGTGCAGACAATAAACCAATGAAAAATACTATTTAAAATGCAAATACTTGAAAAGTTAGTGGCTGAGTTCAAGGGGGAGAGTGGTCGACAAGTGATCTGACCCTCAGTGAGTCATGAGCAGCCACATGTATAATCTTAAGTATCGTTTAATATAATTCATTTGTTTACTGTTGTTTTTGCAGTGAGACAAGCAAGCTTGATCAAAGTCTTTTCTTAGAGCTATGGAGCAAAGGTTTCTTCTCAGATACTCTGCTTGGACTTGCTGAAATTCCACTGATGCAAATACATCATTCAAATGAGGTACATAAATATCCTAGACTTGGAATTCCTGTGTAGGGTGTGGCACCACAGAAAGCCCATCAAGTAATTTCACTTGTGAGCATGCTCTAGAGACAATGTCATTGAAATTTGCAGCCTCCATAAGTCAATGTGGTATGATATATAATGAAGATATATAATAATTATATATATTAGAAGGATTCTGAACTGAATCTGGACATATAGCCTTAGAAGTGTGCAGGAGGCATGTCATAATGAACCAAGCAAATGACTGCCTATCACAAGGCTTTTCTGTAGCCCTGTGGTTAGAGCATCCCACCGGTATAGAGAAGGTAGGTCATGGAGTCAATTCCTATCAGGCCCGCCACACCCCTAGAGATAGGCCTGTAGTGACAAATGATAAATTATTTCCATACTTACTTTTCTTCCCAGAGGGGGTACTCCCCTATATTCGCTTTACAGGTACGTGCCGCCAATTAGGGTATGGTTTTCAGCGATTCTACTCTGGAACAGGGTATATAAAATCGCGCTTGCTCTGGGACAGGGTATATGAAATCACACTCTCTCCTCTCTGGAACAGGGTATCCATTTTGCAATACTGGAACAGCGTATGATTTTCAGCGATCTTGCTCTGGAACGGGGTCAGGGTTCAGTGGGCTCAGCGGCACATCCCTACCCTAGATGGGCAAGAGTACCCCCCGGGCTTTTCTTGCTAATAGATAAATTTGATGGTTTCTGCTGGTATAGGAAGGAAGAGGAACCTGGATATCACTTATACAAGAAACCAGCAATGGACCAAAACCAACTGAACACAAACTATTCATTGACACCAGATTTGAACTTCCTTCTGGTAAGCCAACTAGTTGGAGGAAAAAAAGTACAATTTAAAGTACTGATATTCTACCCCTCTGTTTAAATCCCCCCCCCCCCCCTCAGATGAGCTGATATCTACTGCATAATTGGTGTTTTAGTTTATGAGCAAAGGGTGCACCCCCTCCTAAAACAAAAAATCCTGGATAGGTGCACCTCCTAAAATAATCCTAAATCTGCCCCTGAGAATTATCATCAGTCAAGCTCAGTGTTCCATAAATTAGGCTTTGTTGTATGGTTTGCATCAAGTTGTAAAGAGGAAAGATGTAATTTTAATTTTTCAAGAAAAATGATTGAATAGTGTTGATTAATCTCAAGAGAAAGAGAGAGAAGAAAGAAAAATTCTGGGAGCTCAAAAAAAATTTCTTACTGTATTCAAGCTTTCAACCTGATAATTTTAAAATTTTGTAAAAAAAATAAATTTGTATGTAGAGTGCATGCACTAAAACCCTGAACATTAAATAGTACTAATTAGTACTATTTCATACAGAATCCTTTGTTTTCTATTGTTTAATTATCACTATTTAGTGCTAAAAATTAGTATTTGTTTCACGGATTTAGTGTGAGCACTCTAATATCACGAATAAGTTATGTATTGGTTTATTGAACTTAAGTATGCATTGATTCCAGGTCTCTCTGAAGAAGATGCCAGACTCCTTCAAGAGAAGCTTGACATGTTTTATACCATCATGGATCAAGAGCTACAAGTACTACAAGTGCAGGCACAAAAAGAAAAGGTTAAAAAGGAAGTTGAATCAGGTGAAAAAAAAAAAACTTGTCATCACTATTCACCACCACAAAGTACAGCAGTGGCGCAGCTCAACGGGGTCAAACTGAAAGCATGTGGAGGTGCCAACTGGCAGCCATTATACAGTCCATGTATGACCCCAGAGCACAACTCTAACCAGTTTGAATTAGTTAGGGTTGATTTGAGAGGAGGGAGGAAAAACCGAAAAATAGCTATGTAGTGAATAGTTAGTTATCCATAGGATTAAATCCAGTGGATAACTATTTGAATAATAGTTAATAAAGTTTATCTGCAGGATAAGTGTTTATCCAGTGGATTGTGGTGCATATTTCAAATGAACTTAACTTGCAACTGATGTGAGAAAATGTATTGCTAAGTATTAGTCTAGGGCATCTAATAAACTCAATAGTTTTGATAAGTAGCTTTTGTTTCTAACATGACAATGTTAAGCCAGGCCAGACTTGTTCTTTTCAAAAGTGTTGAGGCATGAAAGGAATCTAAGCTCAATAGATCCCAAAGCAATACAACAATGATAAAAATTATATCTTTTCTTTCAGTAACTAGTGATGCAGAAGGAGAACAAGAAGTAGAAGGAGGAGGAGAAGAAGAAGAAGGAGAAGATGCAGTGGATAATTCCAGCATTGTATCAGAGGATTATTCAGCTTTCTTAGTCAATGAAAATAACCTATTCCAAGTTCCAAATGGAACTAACATGAGTGATAGTGAAGTGGATCAGAAGAATGGAGCGAGAAGAAAAATGAGTCCAAGCAGGTTGGTTAGCCATTGATTAATCTTCTCTACACTGTTTCCTATCGCCAGCCTTCTCTACCTTCCTGTTCATCCATGCATCCATCCATCCATCCATGCATCCATGCATCCATCCATGCATTCATCCATGCATCCATG